CAGGGAAAGTGCACCCGACGTGTTTAGGGCGCACTTTCCCTGACTTGTAAAAAGAGCGCCAATTTGGCGCTCCTTTTAGGGTCATCGCAGGAGCACCGCGGTGTGGCTGCCATGGCCCTGCGGTGCTCCGGACCAGGGCATCCTGGATGCCCTGGTCTGCTTAAGCCCTTAGAGAGCCAGTGTAGCATAGTGGTTTCAGTGTTGGACTTTGACTCTGGTGACCAGGGTTGAATTCCCTGCTCAGCCAAAAAAACCCACTAGGTGACCTTGGGCAAGTCACACTCTCTCAGCCTCAAGGAAAGGCAATGGCAAAACTCCTCTGATTAAATCTTGTCAAGAAAACTCCATGATTGTTTTTCACCTTAGGGTTTCCATAAGTTGGAAATGACTTGAAGGCCTAAAACAGGAAACGGGGTAGGCAACCTTTCCCCTTTAAGGGCCAAGGGACTTCAGCTCCCAGAAGCCTCAGACATGTTGGCCAATAGTCCCATGTCCGCCAATAGCTCCTGGGATTCTGGGAGCTAAAGTCCCTCGGCCCTTAAAGGGGAAAGGTTGCCTACCCCTGGCCTAAAAGAACATGTTAGCTATATGAAGAAATATATATTGTTCTGCATTTTAAATTCAATGTCCAAATCTGGTGCCATCATAAAACTTTTTATATTTGTGGTAATTGGACCTATAAATATATATAGTAAATATTATTATTATTATTATTATTATTTTAAAAAAATCCTATATGTTTCCAAATATTCATTATGATTTTTAAAAGATTTCAGGCAAACAATAATTATGTCACACTCTATGGATCCTACCATATGCAATGCATCCTGCCAATGAATTCTGCTATATGCACACTCAATTCATCCTACCAACTCTAGTTTTGAGGTGTTATTATCTGATTAACTATACTGAGAAGTGATAATACTTAAATACATGGAATGTTTTCATATACTCTTGTCTTTCTGTCACATACAATGCTTTTAATTTGTTTCATTATATGTTATTGTTGCTATTTTCACAGCAACCCTATGAAGTAAGTCAGTATCACTCATGCTAGAATCTGAGCATAAGCTCTATAAAGGCTGCTGCCACACTGCTGAATTAATGTATTTTGACAGCATTTTAACTGTCACAGCCCCAACCAATGGTATCCTGGGATTTGTAGTTTCTTGTGGAACCAGAGGTCTTGACAGAAAAGCCTAAATATCTCACAAAACTATAAATCCCAGAATTCCATAGCACTGAGCCATGGTAGTTAAAGCAGTTTTAATTTTGCATTAATTTTGCAGTGCATTTGCAGCCACAGTCATTCAAGAAAGAGCTAAATCCAACTTTCCACAAGGAAGAAAAATATTCAAGCCATGTTCTCCCTCCGTTATTGTTCTCTTCACATGGAGAGCAATAGTCTGAGGAGGACCACCTCTGATATGCACTGAAGAATAACTGGAAACCTGGAAAAAATCAGTGCTCTTGACTATATGCAGAGACACTATGTGTAGAGGGTGTTTTTATCTTTTAGACTATCACTCTCTGTACTTAGTGATCAACAAGAGAGGAAAAGGGCTAGAACTCTCTCCTCCATGAATGGGGATTTTAACCTTCTCTTTATAGTCCCCAATGGGACTATCTCATTCTAACAAAAATGTATTGTCTGGATTCACATTTATCTGACTCTTTTACATGCATAATTATGATGGTATTGCCCCCCCCCGGTGTGAGGAGTGAATAGATTTTGTTTTAATGGCACTAATGGGCAGAATAGCAAAAGAAGATGGAGAATTGCAATGCGTGATATGGGAGGTTCCTGGCAAGCAAGACAAAAATTCTAAAACTGCTGAAGTTGGCGTATCCTAGCAAGGATGCAGCTGCCTATGTTATCTATGAAAGAACAGGTCATTCAGAAGGTTTGGGTAACAAGCAAGAAGATAATAATTTCTTTAGAATAAGATTGATAAAAGCTTAGTATGTTTTGGAACTATGGAAAACATGTTTTTCCCAAGAGCTGGCAAGACATGAATATAAAGAAAGGGGATTTTCAGCCTCTCCTTTGTTGACATCGAACCAGCAAGATATCATCCCAACCCTTCGGGGATGAACTGATCCATCATTCAGTGAAGAGACCATGTTTTGTGAGTCTGTTGTATGAATATTGTGTGAATGTGAGCTCTTGATACTTAAAATGATTGTCTTATTTTTTATTGTCTCATTGTCTTATTTGTTATGTTTTAATAAATGTTACATGCATAGAGTCTAAACCTAGATCTGGTTTCCTACATGTCTTTGTTGAAAATCCTATAGTCTAGGGTGGCTAAATTTCTCTCTGGCTCAAAAGAACAACAGAGAACCTTGGTTCATGACACCTGCCCCACAAATACTCACATTAAGTATGGATATTTGAACATGAGAGCTTGTGTATCTAGACTGAGGGACTTGTCAGGCAATTTGGAATCCTTACAAATGAAGTTCTGGAATGTGTGGAAGGTTTATGTACATCACCTTCCCTGCTCAGATATCTATGTTCAATGTATGTGCACTGGAAAAATGGGAAGTCCAGGAAGACAAATAACATCAGGGTGTGGCAAGCTGTATGGCTCTGCTGTCATTCTACATATGGAACCTTCTTCATGTGGATAATGCATGTAGGAGGCTCAAGAAATACTTGAGGGAGAGCTGGAGGAACAAAGGCAACTAGCAAAGATTTGAGGGCAACTGAATAAAGTGCAGGCAAGGTCATGGAGGTCTGTAAAGGACATCAGTAGTTTTAATTCTTCTTTAAAGGAAGAATTACTATTTCTTTCATGCAGAACTGAACAGAAAATTAGACTAAGGACTTAAGAAGTAACATCACATGATCTAAACAGTGGCGGAGATGAATGAACAATTTCAGCAGCAAAGTTTCACAACTATACCTCTGTTTTCTACAATTAGATGAATTCAGAGCTATTAAACTGGACTTGTCTCATTTTAATTCAACCCTAGACAAAATTGACTTCCTGGACCAGACTCCTTGCCTGGCATTTTAATTCAGATTTTCAAAAGCTCAAAACAACAGTAGCGTACAAACTGTGCCTAATGCAGCATATCTGATTTGTGTGCAAGAGACACCAATTAGAGACTGTTGCTTTAGAAATTCTCCTCTTTACTAGGTTTGTCACAGAAGACAGAAGTGGCCTTGTTCAGTTCTGATGGCTAATGACTTACTTTTAAGCAGATTTTGCATTAGTACCAAGTACATTATTTCTGCTGCTGCCACTATCTGTGACTCCTTCCCATTTTTGGTTCAGTCTGCTGAGAAAATGTTTTCTTTTCCCCTGTTTTATCAGAAAATGAACAGTGTGTATCCTTTAGGAGGGCCGAATTGGTGCAGTGGTGGCTGCTAGCTTCCATAGCAGTGAGGCAGGCAATCTATTCCATGTTTTACTCTGAACTTCAAAGGAATTACATCCATTGTTAGATAGTTTCTAACTATATTGCTGTGTTATTGACAAGGAGGAATTGACTGTGGGGGAAAAGAAATATTGCCTTATTACTGCTGGTCATGACCAGAGAAGTTATGCAAAGTTTAGATTTTAGACTGATTATCTCCTATTATTAGTTACTATTATTCTCCTATTATTAGTGATAATATAGTTTTCTATTATTAGTCTCCTATTATCAATATTATATTCATGGATAGCTATGTTGGCCATATAGCAAAGTAAAACAACATCCAAAAACCACAAAACAGTAAGTTCTTTATTCGGCCAATCAAAATGCACAAAATAAATGGTATAAGCTTTTGAAACTTCCCTGGCTTCTTCATTAGGTAAATGTGGTAAAAATCACACAGGAGAGGAAATTGGTGATGTTAGTCACAGCCCTTCATTTTGTCAAAATGTTGTTGTTATGATGCTCTGTACTGGTATGGTATGGAGGGATGTATATGCAGGCAGGCCCTCCTCCTTCTGGCCATGTGGCAATGGGAACAAAGCATTCCAGAACTTTTAACACTTTTGCCTTATGAAAAAGCCAGTGGAGCGTCACAAACTTGCATCGTGTATGTTGTGCATTTTGGTTCTCCAAATGAAAGTATCACAGTTTTGTGGATTTTGGATTTTAGTATTAGCATTACTTACACTGTCAAATTACTTATGATTATCAAGGAAACAACTATATCAAGGGAATTTCCTAATTTTTTATGCAAGAGAAGCACTCACTTAAATTGCTCAGTTCATGAAGTGTAAACTTGTGGTCATTTCTTTTAATACTACTAGTCTAGTTCAGTGATACCATAATAGTGTGGATTCTCACCCACCCACCCACAAATGAAACCCACATGAAGTGGTTAGCTAGAGGATCCTGGGTGGTGGGAATTCAGAGCAGATTCAGCACAAGCTGGGAGAGTCAGAAGGACTATGAACAAAAATGGTGAAGGTTTCAAGATGCATTAAGGAGACTGAGAGAAGCTTGAACCCCCCCACCCAATCCCACCCCACCCCTAATAGTGAGGGGGACCACCTGTACCCAGCCAAGCTGCTTGCTCAACCAGGCATGCTATTAGTTGATGTGGAGATCCCAGGATGGCCACAAGTTGATGTTATTACAAGATCACATGGGAGCCTTGTTTCACAAGACCAGTCTTATGAGATTTGATAATCACATGAGAGGGTCTCCTGGGAATTTATGCAACTTCATCAGCTAAACCTAGTGTCTTTCTGTAGTTGTATCCAGTGCACACATGCTGAACTTCAATTTGGGTACCCTTATTAGTCACCCTTGGAGGCTAGGAAGGATTGTTTTCTTGTCATTGTTGCATGTTTTTCATTTTCCCTAGGGACTACTCATGGGGGATAGGCATGAGTGGATAATGCTGGGGCATCTGTACATGGGTTGTTCTATAAATATTGTTGGGCAGTTTTCTGACTTTGTTTTATGCCACAGCTGGCAGGAATTATAATGAATGAGTGGAGACCTGAACACTAATAAATGTTAGGGATATGGCCAAAAGTTGGGAAGAGAAAGCTGGGCCTGAGTGATGGATTTGGTCAACAGAAGATAATGTCTTGGCATTGCCCCCTTCTATTAACCCTTAATCTGGCAATAGATAGCTCAGACTCAAGGCTGCTGCAAGATGGTCCAACAAAGACAAGGAATCTGCAAGACCAGCACTGTGCACACAGGACTCTCTTTCACATTTTTATACTATATTATAATTTATGTAGCAGTAGCAGTAGCAATAGAACTTGTATACTGCTTTATAATGCTAGT